TTTTAACCCCCATAAAATGTCAAAATAACCGCCACAAATCGCACATTTTTTTGTAGTGACAAGTTACTATCACAAAATTACATACGCCATGTTTAAGGATTATTTATGTATCTATGAAAATTTCACAAGCAAATCAACTAAATAACAACTGATAAGAGAAAATTTAAAATTTTCATTGTGATATTATTAATCCTTGATTGATAGAAAATTTGTTCAAAAGAAAAATAAAACTCAACTAATTTTTTAGGCAAAACCTGAATTCGGCAAAAGAAAACAAAATGGTTGATCAAATATGAGAAAAAAGAAATATCCCTTATTCTGCATCTTATCATTATTCGCAACTTAGAAAATTCCTATTTACCTAATGTGATTTAGATCAAACTTTTAATTTGTGGTAGAAAATGATTGTGAAGATTAAAGAAAAAAATGCATTAACAAATATGGAGGATGTGAAAAAAAAATAGTAATCTTGTGAAAAGTGATTTAAAGGGTTCATTATTAAAAGAGGCGAAATTAAGGAATGCTTTAAGTATTTAAATTTTGATTTTTGTAATAAAAATTATGTAATGAGTAAAAGTAATAAGTTGTAAAATAGTATTTGAAACTCTTAATAGAAAAGAAAGATAAGATGTTATATATATACTTTTGATAGAGAGATTTTTAATAAAACAATTTTAGAAAATAAAGTTACAGGAGTTTTTTTATATATATATATATATATAATAGGAAAATGTGGATTTTAGGGAGAAGAGATAAAAGGAATTTGGAGGGAAGGAGAATAAAAAATAAAGAGGAACAAAATTTTTGGAGAAAGAAATGAAAACTTCTAGAGAGTAATGAAAAAATATATAACTAGTTTTTAATAAATGAGTGAAAAATAATAATAAATAACACTATTTATGCTAGAGAGAAGATTTAAATATATATATATATATATATATATATATATATATATTTATATTTATGTATGTATTTCTTAATAAGCTCTTGTATAAGTTAAGTAATAAACTATATTTTACAACTTATCAAAATAAACTCAAAATATTTTATGAAATATTATAAGATCTTTTATAAGTTTTCTCAATCACTTTCATAAAACACTTATAAGATAAAACAAGTAAAAATAAATTGCTAATATAAATTCTTCTAAACAAGACCCTAATCATTTAGGACTATTAAGTCTTATCGCCATATCAATCATCCATCAATAAAGAAAAGATTCATATATTTTAGAGGGATTTAAACTTCACCATGATAG